AGAAGAACCAACACACCGAGAGAAGCGTGCTACGTTCACAGTTCTGTGTCCGATGAAAAGCCACAGCAGGTGGTGCCGCCTGCCGAGGGGTTAACATACAGTGTTTCAGCTAATGGCAGTTTATCAATAACAAAAACAAGTGGGGCACATTCAAAGCTTACCTTCTTCTTTTCATTAGAAATTCGACGAACAAAACAAAATTTAAAATCGACTCGTGTTAGCACAAAACAACTCTCCCTCATTCCCTTCTCCCCTTCTCGACTACTCCCGTCGTTTCCCTCTCTCCTCTACTAAATTACCTTCTTTACGACCAATTTAGAGCTACAATGGCGGAGAGCGGAACAAATAAAACTTGGAAGGCGTTTTGCAGGATGGAGCGATAGGAGGACGCTGAACGAACTGATATATAACTTGATTTCTCAATCTGATTGCCGGAATTCCATTTCTCATTCCCGGCTGTACTGGCTTCTTAAGGAAGGTTGTTTCAACTGTTATTTAGGCACTGAACCCTTTACCAATTATATGTGACCTTGTACAGCGCGCTTCTGAGTTTGCAGGTACAATTCATTTCTGTTATTCAATTTCTGTTTATATATTTTAGTCGTTAAACGCCAATCTACCAGAGTGACAGGTGGTTTTTTTTCCTCATTGTTTCCTGGTGTTCCGCTTCTTGAGAAATGCGTTTCTCCCTGTATGTCTTATCTGTACTCATCCAACATTTATTTTAATGAACATTTTTATCTTTATCCTGCAGCTTTATTCACACAATAACGCTGTTAAAACAAGGCAATTCAAATCGTGTTAAGGGACCTGTGGGCCCCCGTTTAGTTATGAGCTGGACAGGCTTCCCTGTGGCACGCTTCTCCATTACTGTATCAACACAACTAACGTAGGCTCTGCAGAACTTGGGCCACAGACCTGATGTTTTATTTTTTTCACAGTGCAAATATAGAATATAGACATACATAAAAACGGGCCCAAGGTCCCTTGAACACGTATGATTAGCGCTTGTTTTACAGCGTTATTGTGTGATAACAGCTGAGATAAAGATAAATGTTCATTAAAAATAAAATGTTGATGAGTACAGATAAAGCATAGGAGAAACTGCATTTCATCAGAAGCGGAAAACAGGAAAACAAATGAGGAAAAAAAACCAACCTGTCACATCTGTAGATTGCGTTTACACTAAAATATATAAACAGAAATTGAATAACAGAAATGAATTGTACTGCAAACTCAGAGCGGCGCTGTAAAGTCAATATAATGTAAAGGTCAGTGTAATAAAGTTGAAACCTTCCTCTAAGAAGCCAGTAACACGCCGGGGAATGAGAAACTGAATTCCGCAAATCAGTTGAAAATAAAGTTTATATCAGTTCGTTCAGCGTCCTTATGCCTCCATCCTGCAAACGCCTTCCACAGTTTTATTTGTTCCGCTCTTGCCATTTAGCCTCTAATTGGTCTGAAAAGTCATTTAGTAGAGAGAGAGAGAGAGAGAGAGAGAGAGAGAGAGAGAGAGCTTGTTTGTCTACACGAGTTTTATGTCGACGAATAACAAATGAAAAGGTAAAGTGCAGGAAAGGAAAACAAACCCTGCTGACTGGCTTTCATGAAGAAACTGTGAATAGACTCGGCCATTAAAGAGAAAAAGGAGCGCGTGCAGATTGTTCGGAGGCCTAACGAGCAAGTAAAAAAAAAAAAAAAAAAAAAAAAAAAAAAAAAAAAAAAAAAAGAACAGTTCACGTGCCCGAGATATTTATTTATTTAATTAAGTCGCAGCCTCCAACAGGAGATGAGTTAACGGCGCCTCAAACTAACGAGATATGGAACAAAGGCTGTGTCACAGCAAAAATAAATGCGGCTAAATTCAGTCAGTCAAATCAAAACAAACAACGGAACAAATTTTGATACATTTTAAGACTCACAGTAAATAAACAGAGTTTATATTGAAACGTCTTCGTTAAAATATCCTCAGTGATCATTTTTTTGACCATACACAGTAAAGGCAGTAAAGGTGCCACCTCGTCATTATTCCATACCACAATAAAGATGAAATATTTTCTAATGTGAATACTTGTTGTCCACATCTACAAGCTAATAAATAAATCATTAAAAAAAAACACTGAACAATGCATGTTTAGGGTATTCACAGAAGTGGTCCAAAAATAAATCGCATTAAAGTTCAAATGATGCAGCCGTTCCGTGCCAGACTAATAATAACCCCGATATTAAAACTTTAACACTCAAAATGCGCTATGATGGATAATATGATAGCAGTTGAATACAGCAAGCATTGCAAAGTAAAAGGCAAGTCAAAGCCTCTTTTAAGAGTTTCTTGCATCTCGTTTAAAATCTCTCGGGTATTTTTTATTATTATTATTTGCGCATCAGTGTTTTCCGGTTATTTGGAGAATTGACGGGGCAATGTGACAGCATTTACATATTATAAACACTTCAGTTTACCTATAGCTTGACAGTTTGGCAAAATGCCTCAGTTTGAGTCCACACGATGAAAGCCAAATTAAGACTTAAATGCCGATAATGTGATAAATACAATTTGCTTTAGAGCATCACCTGTAATTAAACTGTAAAGTAAAATTGAAAATGAAATGAAAACAAAAACATCTGCTTCGTGAGGCTACAGAGGTTCATGTGTCATATGGAAAATCACACTAGCTTATAGCAATAGACATAATTTAACTGCATATATATAAAATACTATTTTATCACATCATTATATCCTTTTAGCAGCCCCCTCATAGATTTTGAATTTTTTTTTTATTTTTATTGTGACAGAGGATTTTAAAAATCAGCAACTAAAAACAAACAAACTCACTAACAACCTGTAGTATTGTTTGAGATTCTACAGCAACACCATGAGCTTCAAAAAGTGATATGATATTTCAATCAAACAGCATGAAACAGCAGCGGAGCTTTGTCAAAAGTCTAA